AAACAAACATTTCGATCATGGATTACAAAAAATTCTATTATGGGTTACAAAAAACCAAAAAAATTCGAATCATGGATTACAAAAAAATAAAAACAAATTCGATCATGGATTACAAAAAAATCGATTAAGTATTACAAAAAAATCTATCATGGATTACCTAAAAAAAAAAAAAAAAAAAAATTCCGTACGGAATCGCCGATTCACTGTTCGGACTCGCCGATTCCGTACAGTGAATCGGCGATTCACTGTACAGAATCGTCCGGTTCTCTCTAGAACCGGACGATTTCTGATTTTGGGGCGATCCGGTTCCTTTTTCACTATTTCCGAGTCGAACCGGGCGAGTCCAGTTCGACTCGGCGTTTTTTAAAACGCTGCTCTAAACAATCACATTTGAACCTTTCTCAAAAATTTCATTACACGGGATTGTTTTGATGTCTAAAAAGCTTCAAATTGATCATCTCGACATCAAGATACGTGGATATGAGAAAAAAATTGATTTCAAGTTTTAAAAATAATGTATTTTGTTATGCATTTTTTGACTGTCAATTTTCGAGTTTTCATAAATAGGCCGATCTACACTATTTTTTAAGCTTTAAACTTTGTAAATAAATATCAAAATATATTTTAAGACTATCACAAATATATCCATTATTGAAACCACATTTCTCGATACTATTTAAAGGTGGGCTCTAATTTGATTGTTTAGAGCCTATGCTCTATACAAACCTTACCCTTATTTTATTGGGTGGCTGTAGTTATTTTATTGACCAAACTAACCCTTTAAAATAAATTTTTTCAAATTTTGTGACACATTCATGCAATTAGATTGCACATCCTATAGTTGTTGGTACTTATGACCTCCATCTATGAAAGGTAAATAGTCTCATTGCATACAATCCCAAAATAAATAAAGCCTCGCTTCAAATCCTCGTCCGAAAATCACTTTTACTAATAAAAATCTCCAATGGATCTAAAAGCAATTCTTAAGACGGACAATAGGATTTGAAACTCAAAAAAATGATACATAAATGAATGGCCTAGATAATTTATTATAATATATATTATTTTTAGAGCTTGAAATCTTTTTTTTTTTTTTCGCAACTACAATGTTCATGCCGAGATAATCGATGTAAAAGTTTTTCAACAATTGAATTGTAATTTCCTGATAAGTTATGAAATGAGGCTTTACTTATTTTGATAGGGCTGCAGCCCTATCAAACTACTTTCTTTTAAATAATTCACTGCTCAAGGACGGTGAAGATTAACCGTGGCATTGATTATGGATACACCCCGGATAAATCTCTGCCGTTTCTCATTTAGAACCGACGGTAGAAAATCTTGTGGTATACCATATACTAAACCACCATTGAATTTGTATATACTAGTGGATCATATTCACTCGAAAAAATATGCTAGCGGACATTTCTTAGAAAGTGTACGTTTAGAAATTGAAAACACGAATAAATTAAGGATGCATTTTCCATAAGACTTACACTTGATGAAAACAAAATGAAGTATGTTGCGAATCCTCGATCGTTCTGAGAGCACTTTGGCATTGGAAATATATATAATCGCTCTAAAATCGATTTTTAACACCAACTATCAAATTCGAAAACTAAAAAAATGATATAGATCTTGCAAATCCATAAATACTTATTTCTAGTGCAAAATGGATTGTCTATAAATGTGCTATAATTATATTATTTTTAAGGCAATTTATATTTTTTTTGGCAACCACAATGGTCAAGGCTAAGATGATTGATTCGAAGTGTTTCGACGTCAATACTGCAAATTTTTGTGAGTTTTGAGGCAATGATATACTTATTTTGATAGAGGTGCAGCCCTATCAAAACATTTTTCATAATTTAATAATCGGTATTGTGTATGTGGAAAAGGAAGTTTGTTGAAATAAACTTAAGATATTAACTATTTGATATTTTATTATTATTTTGATTTAATTTTAAAATCTCCATTTAAATAAGGTGAGATTTGTCTAAGGTGTCGACCTTATACTATTGAATTAAGGCATACCTCAAAATTGTACTGAAAGTACAATTCGATGTCATAAAGGCTTTCTATGATATGGAAATCAATTGTATATGATATGGAAATCAATTGTAACACCTAATTATTAAATTTTTAGCTTTATAAATTATGCAGATCTAACGTATCTATAAGAAAAATTCTAAAAAAGGATAGTCCAAGTAATATATATATATATATATATATATTTATACCCATATATGTCGATGTCAAGATGATAAATTGTAGGGTTTTCACCCTTATAACAACCTTGTCGGATTTTTGAGATGTACCTCATTTCTATGTTATAACACCTTATACGAACTTTTTCCTTCAAATAAACATGATTTTGAATTGGCCCAAGGAAAAAAAGGGGTAAAATATTACATAATTTAAAAGTCTATTGATTTAAAAAACTTTAAATATAATTATCTATTGATTTTAAGTAG